GGCGGCAGCGCTAGCTGCCGCCGCCGCCGCCGCCGCCACTGCTGCCACCGATGCCGCTGGCGCCTCAACATCAGCCGCCGCCGCCGCCGCCGCCGCGCGCCGCCGCCGCCTTTCCGAAGTCCTGCTGCACCTGTTGGTGTTGGTTCTGGAGCTGCAGGACCCTATCCTGCTGCGGCTCTCCCTGCAGATCGAGTTCTTGTTGCTGTTGTTGTTGTTGCTGCTGCTGTTGGGCGGCTGTCAGCACGTAGCCGGGGTCCGCCGTGGCGGCGCGCAGGTGCAGGATGGGCAACACCGCGAAGCAAACCAGCAGCACCAGTGTCGTACTAGAGATGAGGCCGTGCCAGTACGGCAACACCCCCCAGCCGTACACGAGGGGATACACGACCTCGCAGGTGGCGATGAACGACAGGAAGCTCCGCGAGGTCGGAATCTTCCTGCGCGCGTGTGTGTGTGTGTGTTCGTGTGTGCGTGTGTGTATGCGATTGACGCGGGTTGTACGGATGGAAAGGGGGTTAAGGGGGAAAGGCGAACCACGTGAACGAGAGAAGCTGATGCGAAGGATAGAGTGATGCTCCACAAGTAAGGAAGTAAGGAAGGGGTAGGGGGGACTGGGGGGGGATGTTCCTGCCGCGTGTTTTAGCTCGTGCGTGAGAATCGTATCCCGGTTGTTTTGCCGACCCGACCCGACCCGAAACGCACACCGCTCCAGAACCCACCGTTCGCGCGCCCCCGTCTGGTCGTCCTTTCCACACACCGTTTTTTCCCAAGTAATGTTAATTTGCCTGCCTGACCGCAAGATCCTCCCATTTGGAAGGACCGGAACACTAACAGCACTCCCACCACTCCCACACCGCCGTTACGATGTCTCACAAAGTGCCTACCTGGCAGCAATTCCCTCAACACCCGCACGGCCTAGGGGGGACTTCGTCTTCTCCCTCAACTCCGAAGCCAACCCTTATCGGCATTAAGACCCCACACAACCCCATACCACCTCACACCCAACCCAGGCCCCAGGCTCTAACCCCACCCATACATACATACATACATACATACGTGCAAACAGACACAGAACTCACTCTCTGGGTATTCCCCCCAGCACCACCGTGAAGCAGTACGCCCCGGGCAGTACGGCAGCTATAAGGCCCCCCGCCAGCAGCCAGAAGGGCAGTCCGGGGGCTCCCACCACCAGCAGGGCCGCCAGCGCGAAGAAGGGCGGAAAGAACAGCAGATCGCAGTAGCCTGAATAGGCCCTGAAGGGGGCATCAGCAGGGGAAGTGGAGGCGAAGGCGGGAGCACGGAAGGGGGGTTAGCAAAGAGGGGCAACGAATGTGCTGGGTGAGGGTTGCGGGAGGTGTGTGTGTATGTGTATGTGTATGTCCGATTGTGTTTGCGAAATCTCTTCGGTTCATCTCGTCTAAATGAAGTGGACCTCGCTCCCGTTCTCCCCCCTCTCCTCCCCTCTCCCCCCCAAACACACACACGTCCCTCACCCCCCCACCTCCTGTACAGGGTGCCACAGCCCTCCTGGGCCTCCGGCGGCCTCCACAGGAGGTTCGCCTCCACGGGCTCGTAGTAGTCCCCGGGGCGACGCTGGGCCCCGGGGGCAGGGGGCCGAGGGGGGCCAGGGGGGGAGGGGGGAGGGGAAGGGGGAGGTAAGGGGGACATGCGGCAGTGTACAGGGGGATAGAGGCGAACCACACTGGCCAATGAAGCGCACGCAACTACCAGAGATAGACGGATATAGTCCAGGAGAGGAAGATGAATGCGGCATTTCAGGAAAATATACTGACCAGCAGTGACGATGGCTCCCTCAGTAAGGGGGAACGGGGGGGGAGGGGGGGGGGAAGAGATACAGTGAACAAGAAACACAGCAGGAAACCCCGCTCTTCACCTCAGCTTCTTACCTTGCCGGCTGGGCTGCTTCCCAGCCCGTACATGCCGTACCGGTCGTACTGACTGGCCCCGTGCAGCTCAAAGGGATGGTGCTGCTGCTGCTGGCGGTGGTTCTTATACTGCCCCTGGTCGTGGTGGTGGTCGTGCCCCGTGCAGCAGGGAGCCGATCCTGACTGCCCGACCTGCTGCTGGTGGTGGTGGTGGTGGTGGGTATTTTGGTTCTGCTGTGGGGAGGGGTAATGGGAAGAATGATGTCGGTGTGTCGAAGAAGACGCAAAATCTTGGCCATCGGCCGGCCCATGCCACCGCCCACTGCCGCCTCTGACTCCGCCGGCGGCGGCGGCGGCACTGTCCAAGGAGGCCGTGCTGATGGGCAGCATGTGCGACCCGTGGGTCAGTGACCCCTGGTGGGAGCGGAGGTCCGACCAGGCACCGGGCGGCATCGCCTGAGCCGCATACGCCGCCGCCGCCACCTTCTCCTGCTGCCACACGGAAAACGAAGGAAGCTCTATTTGCGCCGTATCATTAGTGCTGCTGTTGGCGGCGGCGGCAGCGGCGGTGGCGGCCGGCTGCAACAGCACGTCCTCGCGCTTGATGCCGTGCGCCGCCAGCAGCTGCTGCTGCACATCGTACGGCAACTCCTCCAGCGTGACTTCGCGCTCTGAGTGTGTGAAGCTAAAGCCGCCGTACTCTCCACCGCTACCTCCCCCCGCCACTGTCTTCCCCGTCGTAGTTGACTCGACCGACGGCGGGTTGAAGAAAGCGGGGGACTGGTGCGGGGGGGCCATGCCTGCCGTCCAGGGCCGCGAGCCGGACGCGCCGCCGCCGCCGCCGCCACCTTGTAAATTTTCCGAAGCCCTAGCCGCCGCCGTCGCTGTCCCTGCCGCCATCGCCGAGCCGAAGGCGCCGGCCGACTGGCCTGCTACCGCCGCTGCCGTCGTTGCTGTCCACGGGGTTGGCGGCTGCGGCTGCGGCAAATGGTGGTTGGCCGTGTTGTCGTCAATGTTAGCCATCGTCGCCATGACCTGCTGCTGCAGCAGCTGCATCCTTGACCGCATCTTGAGTACGGCGGCGGCGGCGGTAGTAGTGGTGTTGGCGGCTGCTGCTGCTGCTGCTGCAGGCTCAGGGGAACCGCCTGTGTAGCCCTCTGGCGGGAAGAGGTGCTGCTGCTGAAGATGCTGCTGCTGCTGGTGTAACTGCTGTTGCTGTTGTTGTTGCTGATGTAAACGCGCCTGGAGGTCGCGGCTGTAGGACTCGAGCTGCAGGACCGCCTGAAAAGGATGAAATCGGGGTGAGGAGGAGGAGGAGTGGGGCAGGGTGGGGGTAATCGTGTGTGTATGCGTGTGTGTGCTTAGGGTGGGCTTTCGAAACCCATGGGTGTATGTGCACGCGCGCGTGTGTGTATCTGTGTGTATCTGTACATATGAATGTGTGTATTATATGTGTATATCTGCGCGCGCATGTGTATGTATGATGTGTGAAACCGGGGGGTATATCTTCACCCGTGGCAGCTACCCTGCGAAGCCTATGTATGTATGTATGTATGTATGTATGTATGTATGTATGTATGTATGCATGTATGTATGTATGTATGTATGTATGAGTCCACCAGGGGGTTTGTAATCCACGGGCCCCCCCCCATGGGACCTCGGTCCAGCTAAGTGACCGCCTTCCCGGCCTCCCTGGAGCCGCGATGACGTCCTCTCCTGGAAACCTGGGGAGGGTTTAGGGTTTGGAGCTCCTGCGGCTGCGAGCTAGTGCCAATTGCTCTTGACACATAGTTTTGTTGCATGGATTTAGAGTTCCCCCCCCTCCGCCCTTTCACCTGCTGCTGCTCCGGGTGGTTCATCACGCCAAACATCCCCGCGCCCCCTGTCATCATGAGAGCCGGATCCTTCGCCATTTGAAGCACCGAGCGGAGCTTGTCGGGCGCGAGGAGCTCGCTCATTCCGGGATTCTGCTCCAGAAGGCGCTTGAAGGTAGGGTCCCGCTCCTTGACGACTTCCAAGAGCTCAGGGTTTTGCAGAAGTCGCTGAAGTGCAGGGTTGGTAGCAAGGCGAGAAACCTGGGACACCATGGCTTCATGAAGGCTTGCAGCGGGTGGTGTCGGTCCCGTAGCCTGCAGCGGGAAAAGGTGTTAATGCACGAGTTTGAGCTCCACTTCACAGGTTAGTCGACTTGCAAATCCAAAGAACACACCTGTGCATGAGGTTGGGACGATACCACTTTCCGCGCTGGAAGCCTTGGCATCGAAGACATTTCTACGCTGCCTACTGGAGGGCACGCTTACAGTTTCGACGTCACATACATGTTTTGCTTTGTGCAAATGTCAAGCTTTTGACAGCTCCCCTTGATCTTGCTTATGCTTAGACGTTTCGACTTTGCAAGCGGCATGCAAACTACGCTATTATATTACATGTAGAAACTATATAGTAGTGTGTGTTTACCCAGAGATGGAAGCGCATGACGAGAAGTTAACATCTTTGCAGTTTGCGCCCTGGAGACTGGACAGGCTGGATCTGGCAGTTGGCGATAACGGTCGCACTCTACGCCTCCGTGCTCCGTCTCTCCGAATGTCCGAAAGCAGCACCCTGAGGTTTGCTATTCTCGGATGTCCGTAGAAACCTATAAAATGCTACGTTAGGATTACAAGGTCGTCGTTGGCAGACTTCCGGCATTATCCCGCCCCCATTACAAGCAGGTGCCCGTAGTTACAGGGCCCTATGAAGCTTAATCAACTACAACAAGTTAATACTATACGGCTAAGGCTTCGAAGGTACTCTTGTGCGACTATGGCCACATCCCGGTACAGCTCTGCTGCGGAGAACTGCATTTTCAAGGGAAGCATGGACAGATACGCATCCTTGGAAGGTCAGAAGCGCGAGAGTCCAGCTGCAGAGCGCAACAAGCAGCCAATCCTTGAAGTAATGGTAGGTCGTACAGCAGGGAAACCCCAACTGGGTCTCCTCACGCTTGCTTTACGAGGGGCGTTTGATCGGTCTGCAAGGGACGCAAGCGATCCGCTGATGTAGCAGCCTCACGTCGTTTGACGGCCACCAAGCCGCCATGCCCCCGAAGGCTCTCCGAACCTACTTGCCGTACTGTTTCCGATAATTCCGGTAGACTCGGCGTGCCGGCACTCGGCAGCTCCGTTGAATTCCGTTGGAGTAACCCTTCTTCCATTCTCAGGGAATGATGTCTTACTGCCAGTTCAATCCAGTCCTGAACGCCCAGGGCCTGGTGGCGGCTGATGGACCACCTGAAAACTGACTGGACCGCTCGCCTGTCTGCATGCCGGGCCTCCCTTTCCACCTGCGAGAGCAAGCCGTACAACCCACCAATCAACCCACCAACCGCCGAACCGGCCAAAAGTTACGCAAGGACATAACAGCGACACACACAAACACACATAACGACTGGGCTTCCAAGTGCCTGTGGTGGTGGTGGTGGTGGTGTGGTGTGGTCGTAGTAGTGATGGCAGAGTTAGGGCGCAGTAAAACCCCCACAGTCCTGGTCCGCTGATCCGTCTGTCCATCCGTCTGTCTGTCTGTCTGTCTGTCTGTCTGTTGCTCCAGTGCCCCCCTACCCCCTCCCACACCTCACCCTCTTGCCCACTCGCTCCGCGCGGCTGCGACCCTTAGCGACTCTTTTCTTCCATCCTGCCATCCTGCCATCACACGACCCTGGCCCGCGCCCTCCCAGCTCGAGTACCTGCCCCGCGGCGCCCCCGACACTGCAGCCCGCTCCCGCCGGCCCTTTTTACTGGAGGTACTGACTACGACTAGTGGAATTGGAGTTAGGTAGATCAGATCAGATATAATACAAATTTGTGCTTTTTGGTGGGAACGCTGAGGGAGAGGGGGAGTAGTAAGAAGACGAACCACTGACGGTTGAAGCAGATATATATACCAGCAATAGACGGGTAGTCCTGGATAGAAGTCTTCAGGGGCGGCTGACAAGTGCGGCAGGAGAGACGGGGAGAGAGACGGGGAGATACAGACCCCACGGGAACACAGATATAACTTATGTACGGATATGTACGGCAGAGTCCATCACCGGTGCCGTACTACTACAGGAACCCCTGCATGGTACCTAGCTGCTGACCATTATGCTATTGTCATCATATCTCTTGCAGGTCCGGTTGTTTGGTGTCACATGTGTGTGTGTTTTAATAATTTGCGTCCGCGAATGTATCTATGTGTATCTCCGTCTGCCGGTCTGTCTGTCTGTCTGTCTGTCTGTTAGTTTATCTGCTAACTTGATTGGCTGTTCTGCCCGTATGTCTGTATATCTGTCGCTGCACCTGTCCGCTCCCAGATCGCAAGCGGCTCTGGTCAGCATGCAGCCCACCTGGCGGCGGCGCTGCCCGAGTACGACATTCAGCCCTCTGACGTAACATCGGAGCTGTTCGGCAGCATCGTCGCTTACGCCGCCGGCTTGCCCAATGTACGACTGCCGCCGCTGCTGCTGAACGCGGCGGCGGCGGACGAATGGCCGCAGGCGGCAGCTGCCGCCGCCGCCGCCGCCGCCGCTGCCGCTGCCCCTGAAGCCGCAATTGTCGGGCCAGCGCCGGCAGCGGACTCTGACGCGGCCGCCGCCGGCTCATCTTTCACACCCTCTTGCTCGTCCTCTCCGTCGAGCTGTACGGCAGTAGATGTCATCCTAGTCATCAACATGTGCCACATATCGCCGGTGGCGGCCACGCGCGGCTTGCTGCGAGGGGCAGGTGAGGTGGGGGCTTGTTGCGAGATTCACATCCAAAGCCAAAGCCTCCACCGAAACCAGAAAGCACCTCAATCGCTCGCCATGCTCCTCCCGCCTCCTGTACACCGCCCTGGCTGTTCAGGTACGGCACTACGTTCCGGCGGTAGCGGGCTGTTGTTCGTGTACGGCCCCTTCACTGTGCAGGGAGGCCGCCACACCTCCGACAGCAACGCCGCGTTCGACACCTCTTTGCGGTCCCGAAACCCCGAGTGGGTTACCGGGATGTGG